GGGGGGGGGGGGGGTCCTGGGGGCGTTCCTTGGTGCTTAGGGAGGCCCGATGGGTGCCCGGGAAGGGGAGGGGTCTACGGGTGCCCGGGGGACTCCATGGGGTCCCTTTCTGTCCTGAGGGTCACTGGGGTCACCTGAGCCCTCCAGGCGCTGCCTGTAAGGTCTGACAGCTCTGGGGGTCCCAGTGCAGCCCCCCCGAGGGGCAGGGGGAGGGGTTATGGGTCCCTGGGGGTCCCTATGGCTCCTGGGGGGGTCCCCACAGCTCACGTCAGTCCCTGTGGTCCCTTATAGCTCCTATAGGTCCCCTATTGGTCCCTTTAGCTGCCAGGGGTCCCTGCGGGTTCTTACAGCACCTGAAGGATCCTGGGGGGGGTCCCTATGGATCCTTGGGGGTCCCAACGGCTCCTGGGGGTCCCTGGGGGTCCCAGTGGCTCCTGGGGGTGCCTACGGTCCCTGTTGCTCCTGTGGCTCCTCAGAGTCTGTGCAGGTCCCCGGGGATCCCGAGGATCCCAGTGGCTCCGATGGGTCTCTGCAGGTCCCCGGGGGTCCCTACGCCCCCTCCCCAGCCGCCACAACCCCCTGCGGGTCCCAGAGTCCCTCCGCCCCCCGCCCCCGCCCCCTCCCTCCCCGTCCTCGATCCCCTCGGCCCCGTCCAGTCCCCGGGGCCCCCCGCGCCCCGTCCCGTCCCCGCCTGGTCCCGCCGGAGCCCCCGCGGCCCGGAGGGGGGAGGAAGCGGCGTCCGGCGGCGTTCCCGGGGGGGGGCAGGGGGCGGCCCGGCCGCTCTGGGCTCCCGGGGGTCCGGCGGTTCCCCGCGCTGGCTGAGGCGGCCCCGGGAAGGCGGAGCCGGGACATTGTCACCGGGACAAAGGAAAAGGAACCAGCGCCGGACGGGGCGGGCCGGGGGCACCGGACGCCGGGGGGGGGGGGGGGGGAACCGGACGAGAGGCCGGCGCGGGGAGGGGGCGCGGCGCTGAGCCCGGCGCCCCCCGGGACCCCCGCACCGGGCTGCGGGGAGGCGCTGCTTCCCCGGCGGCCCCACGGGACACCGTGAGCGGATCCCGGAGGGTTCACGGGGCTGGCGTGGGGAGGGTCCGGACGGGGATAACGGGGTGGGGAGGGGTCCGGTGAGACCCCCCCCCGCCCCCGTTCCAGCGCGGGGTCCCCCCGGACCCGCCCGCGGCGCCGCTGGGGGGCGCCCTCTCCGCGGGGGCACGGAGGGATTGGCCCCGCCCACACCCGGAAAGGGGCGTGGCTTATTTACCCCGAATGGGCGGTGCCAAGCGAAGGGCGTGCCCTGTCGGAGGGGGCGTGTCTCTCCCCGCCTCTCGTGACGTCATTCGCGCGCCTACCCGGAAGCGGCGCCGGGCGCGGGGGTCGGGGGGGGGCGGGGGCGGATTTGGGGGTCCCGGGCTGGGTTCGGGGGTCCCGGCGCCGCCATGGCGGGGGCGGCGGTGCTGCAGGTGCTCCGCCAGGGCGTTTGGGCCTCGCTGACGGGCGGCTGCTTCCTGGACCCTCAGCTGGGCGCCTTCGCCAACTGCGTGCGGCTCTACGTGTGGCTGTTCCTGCTCGGGCTCCCGCTCGGCCTCTACTCGGTGCACCGGGAACGGGGGGGCCTGGGCGGTTTTGGGGGTTCCCCCGGGGTCCCCCGGAGGTTGTGGGGCGGTGGGGGTGTGCAGGGGGGTGCTGACGCCCCCTCCCCTGGCCAGGCGCTGCCCCCCAGCCCCGCCGTGGCCGCTCTGTACTGCGGGCTCGTGGCCGCGTTCTTCGGGACCCTCAAGGCCGTCACGTTCCGGCTGCACGCGCGCCTGGACCGGGGGGACCCCGAGGGGGACCCCGAGGGGGGGGCGGCCGCGCTGCTGCCCCCCCGCAGCCCCGAGGAGCGGGACGGGACCCCCGGGTGAGTCCGGGGGGGTTGGAGGGGAGGGGTCCGGTGGGTTTGAGGTGGGGGGAGGGGCCTGGGGGTATTTTGGGGACCTGGGGGTCACCTCGTGTCGCCCTCCCCTCACCTCTGACCCCCACACAGCCCCCCCGGGGGGGGTCTGGAGCTCTCGGTGCTGCGCTGGCCGAGCGCGACCCCCCCCCAGCTCTGCGGCTTCAACCAGCTCTCGGTGAGTG